CAGACCCAGCGGTAATGTCCTCTTCCTCAGCATTTAACAAGAAATTGTAAATTTTAGTGTATAAATCGGCAGGCATGATAAAAATAAAAAAAAAGTTATAATAGTCATCACTCCAGTATACTACCCTTTTAAATGACGTTCTCTCTGGGCTTGTATTCATGTTGGGGGAAGAGACAGGAGAATGGGCAAATGACTTTTACGCCAAAAATGTTGTGTTCGAGAATAAAGGCATGTGGAATATACATTGAAGATCTCAATATTTAGAATGTTGTTGGGGATAATGCATATAGACTTTTTTTATATTTCACTCACCCGTCCGCTTAATAGTTAATACTAAGACCCGGCAACATTATATAAATATACTCCGGTCAAAATCTAGTAGAAATAGACTCTAGCATTGGAGGAAATAAACTCATAAATAAAAGCTATTCAGATAAGGAAAAAAATTCGAAATATTTTGGGGGATCGGTTTATGTGTGAAATTATTTTGTCGCACAAGCATAGTTTCACAGATGATTTGTGAACTATCACATATTACATCATATATACTTTAACGAGGATCAAAAACGTGCTAATTTATGTCGCACACTGTTCTCCTACATGCATTGGCCTTGAGGCGCTTCGCATGGTTGGACAATATATTATTTTATTAAGATAATATTCGGGATCTGGGTCAAAGACGTCCCAGGATCTGGAAAATTCAGCGCACTAATTCAGAATTATTATCCCAATCTGATAAATTTACAGTAATCGGATTATACAGCTGGGTAAGAGCATGGATTTTAAAATTATTTGTTAGCGAGTCATACACAATATACTCAACTCTCTTTTTATTCATATATTTCTTATATTCTGGAATTCTAATAAAATTTTTCAAGTTTGATTTTCTATCAATATGATAATATTCAGGATTTTTTATCCATTTTAACATATCAGTCCATTCTATCCCCCATATTGAATCTCTAACGATTATATAGCCTTGCTGATATAATAATTTCAAAGTGAGTATGAATGCTGTATTTATTAATCTTAAACGTAACTGAATTTCTTTTTCCGATATTATCTCAATATTATTCGATCCAAAACCAAAATATTTACGAGGAGGGAAACTACCTAAAAACTTCATATCGTCAGGAGTACCATCATTCCTTACTGCCTCCCAAACTCGTTTTGCCCAAGTTTCAGGTCTCAACTTGAAAGCTCTCCAAGCCCGTTGGATAGCTTTTGCACTATTGATTAAACGATTTACAATCCTTTTCCTACCTTTATGTGAAAGATCATAATGATTCAAACCTTTACTGTACATAACTGAATATGTTTGATAAATCTTTTCAATCTCATCAGAACTAAGCGATAATACACTTCCTCCTTTTTTCACATTCTTTCGTATAGAATTAGAATGCATTTTAGCGGTTTTAGTAATACATTTCTCCAGATGATCATTGCCACATTCGATTGTATTTTCACGGATAATTACTAAGGAGTCGTATACAGTGCAATAAATATTAAATGAGCGTCTCCCAGCTTTAAATTCCCCATCTATATATGATCTTTCAATCATCTGGATAAATCCATTCTTGGAAAAGTATTTTGGATTATTTTCAAGAAGTTTCTTGAATAGATAACGAACACGAGAACACCACATTTCTGGTGTTTCGTAATCATGTCTTTTTGTTAAAGGCAATATTGCATCAAGTATTCTTATATATTCTGCAGAGCCTCCATAAGTATTGTTTGCATCAATTAGTTTAGAATATGTTTTACTATCTAAATCCATATTTATAATGATTTTTATTGATTTTAGCTGATTTAAGCAAGATTAAAACCGAATTCATTTTTGTTCGGAAACGTCATGATCCGGTTAAATTAGATCCGAGTCAATATTTTCAGATCCATTACTAATCAATCACGAGATGATCGGCTAATCAGATTTTGTGTAGCATCTAAGCCACCGATTTATCAAATTAATCGCGTTCAATATTAACCGAACTCAATCAAAAAATCAAGTCTACAAGATAACAAATAGCTCTGCAAGCGTCCAGTTTCTATTATGAATGCAAACACAGATAGAGAAGCCGTTGCCAAAGCCGTACTCAGAAGCGAATGTGACAATTATTTTTACGAGTACCTGATACGGAGAAGGAAGCAAGCTTCTTTCGTGAAAGAAATTCAAGTCGAACATAGTTCCTATTGTGCTACACTACATAAATTTAAGAGCGATCATGAACTCGGAGTCAACGTACAAAGTGCTTTGGACGCGTTTGAGGTTAGTTTTTCTTGGTGCTGTGACATTCTTATATTACTCTAGCGAGAGTATCTTCGGTTGCTCTTGTGATGATCTTCGGTTCGAGTATATAAGTTATGGCTTTTACCGAGTAAGAGCATCTTCGGTTGCTCTTATGATAAACTTAGGTTTGGGCTTTATCTAGCAAGAGCATCTTCGGTTGTTCTTGTGTCCGGATGAAGTTTAGTCAGTTACAGCACATTACACAATGATGTATGCATTTTAAGATATTAACGCTTATTTTTCTATAAGGAGGAAAAAAAATCTTCAATAGTGACCAATTTTTGGAAGGAAATCCAAAGCTTACAAGAGGAAGAAAATGCTATTCGATCCGCCTCATTGGGGCACCTCAACATATTCGGGACAACGGTAAAGAGTTAGAGTAGAGCATTTGTAAGAGGATCTGGATCGTATTTGCTTATTCTAACACTTCTTTCTGCGAACAGCTAACTCAATATGCAAATAGAATTGAAAGTACAAATTTATTTCATCATCAGCTAGAAGTTCAACAAAAATTACCGGAATCTAATATAATGCGAAATGGTATGTTTGGCGCTACCACTACAAATTTGTTATCATTAAACATTCTTATATAAATAACGATCTCGAAATTGACACCAGAAAATCAAGACCATCATGAAGATAGACTATTAACCAATGTTACGGATGATTATTTACAAGAAGCAGTGGAATCCATGGTCGGAAAAGTGGGAAGTAACATATTGAAAGTAGATAATGTAAATTTGGAAGAAATTTTCGAAAAGTACCGCGATGAGTGTGAAAGTGAATTTGAGTAAGTAAAATCGTCTCCCATAACTATATGATCCTGTTTTATTCATTGTTTTGTTATCAGTTTATCCCATAGTGATATTATGGATTTGAGGCCCACTTCACAGTTGACAAAAATTATTCCCGAAGTGACGTGGGAAAAATTTATCTTGGATACATACCCTGATCATAAAATATCAGAAAAATGGGAAGAATTAATTCAAGGTTTTTTTAAGGTATATTCTAAGATCTAGAAATTTTGAATTATTTTTTGAATTAGCTAGTCCTAATTTTTATTTACCGGTTAGCCAAAAAATTCCCTAACCGAATGGGAGAAAGCCTGGCGCGGACTTTTTGACGGAAAAGAAAGTAGTGAAGATCTGGTGATAAAAGAAACATTATACAATATTCTCTCTCCATAGTACGTTTAAGCTTTTATTATGTCTGTATTTTTATAATTAGTAGTATAATGTCATATTTGTATTATTCTTTTTAGCATTGAAGCTTTTAAAGCACCGTTTAATATACTAAAGTCCGGTGATCTGGAGGAAAACCAATTTAATTCACAATTTGTAAGTCCCATTTTAAAAAATACGCTCAATGCTACTTGTAATATGGATTTGAGAATGTAAGTGAATTCGATTTATCCATTCCGGGAAAGTATTCATCTGTAGTGATTAACATTGTTATTACCTATTAATAGTCTCGAGGTTCCAATCAGAAGTAGCAAATATCGACGCAATTCTGATATCAACCCATTCGTTGATAAAGTTTTGAGTGCAAAACGTGCGGATGGCCTGGCACGTCGATGGCAAAGCCAGGAAGAAACATTCGTATATGAACAGACAGGAGGACCAGATGTTGATGATGTTACCGATTTTTACGTCCACGATTACAAATTGGTGCGAACCATCAGAACAAAGTCATCATTTAATCTAAATTTTGGTATTGGATCCAAAGCCAAGACATTCGTTATCATCATAACCTAACTTTTTTTCCAAGATAACCAAAATTAAAATTTATATACTTATTTAAACCTCGCGTATATAACGAAGCATTTTCTTATTACCAAAAGAAAAGCCAAAAAACAATGGGAAAATATTTTTTGATTGGATGGATATGCGTGATGTGTTGAATCAACGAATTATTCTTCGGCTCAATGACGGTATAAAAGATTGTAACAACTTGGCTAGTTTCGGTGCTCTGGGGCATCGTGATGAAGTATTTCTGTTTTGGTGCACGATACACCTAAGATCTTATTGTTTACGCGAATATGGAAGTTTTCACATACCCACAATATGGCAAGATCTCCCCTCTCTATCTGAGGCAGTAATAACATGCTTAAAGTTTTTTGTGAGTGCCACTAAATGTGATTCCACTTCACTTTACATTGTTCCTTGCTATTAATTATTTATTTATGTTTAGTCTTTCATGAAAAACAACATCACAAGAATTGAGTCACATGCCGGACAAAAAAAGAAATTACTTTCCAAGCGAAAGATTCACACAGTGACGCCAAATCCACCAACTCCCGATAAAACAAAAAAACAAAAGAAATAATGGCATATATGATTTTCTGTTAGCAAAATATATCTATTGAAATTTATATTAATAAAGAATTTGCCCAAGCACATTGGTATTGTAATTATTTTTCTTTGTTTAAACAATTGTGTAATATGATTACATATTCACTGCATAGCAATATGAGAGGGGAAAAGCAAAACTTTATACAAGAAAATGCGAGAAAAGCAAATGAAATGCATGATGCTATCAAAGAGGGAGGGAGTACGCGGATCCTAGGCCATTTATTGCGAGTCCCAGCATCAAGTAATTTCTTTGCTCTCTTACGGACTATGCTAAAGATTATTTCCCGCAAGATAACTCCAAAATTAAGAAGAAATTTCGAATCTATATTATAATTAAGGGAGTATTGGTAACTGAGGTAAAAAAAAATAATACAGTATTTCCAATTCACACTTACCGATATACTTAGTTTTCACAATATTACATTCTGCCTCATATACAAAGAATTTGTTACTTGATTTTTTCTGCGTTATCGCCCGAACGATACTGCGCAAAGTTTCAAGAATTCGGCACGTGAAAACAGATGATATACTGCGCCAGACTTTTGCTATGCCGTTGCATGTGACGAGATTCATGTGAGTAATTTCACTGCGTCTATTGTACGCGTGATGATGGTCAGTGATTTTCTCGGCGAAGATCAAAATGCCGATATATAACAAGAAGACCGGAGGAAGTAATATGTCTGTTATTTTATTTTGGAGCATCTATAGAGGCGGGAAAATCGATTAACATCATGATGACATGTTTAGAGAAACTAGCCGAGCAACAAACCAACTTACTTTATTATTACTTTGCGGAATATACGGTTCGTTTGATTGTAAATATTGATGATGCAAATAATTGTAGGTTTGAAATTTATTAGAATTTTGTTTGATATTTCGCTTGCTTATATTTGCGCAAGATGGATAAAAGGGTTCACTAACCAGGACATTGCCTTTTTATATAATTTGCAGGATCGATTTTGGAATACGCTTTTTGGGGGAAAATTACGTTCATCACGAAAATCTGATCAACGGCCTCTCCTTAATTTAACAATAGTATATAAAGATCGTCAGGGAGAGTTTTTATTAATAAATTTCATTGAGTACATGCGGGAAAGTTCGAGAACAAATGCTATACTACGGTTATAACTAATAACTGTAGATACTGTGATCTATACAAAAATAAATTACAAGAATCGAGGGCTAATCTGTGATATATGGCAAGGACTATTCTATACATTGTACTAATACAATATCCTATCATTAATTCTATAATCCGTTTCATTTGTGCCTTCATGATCCTCAAAAAATCCTGGAACGAAAAATACCATTAGCTTGTAATCCTGAGTCGCTTCATTGAATGCATATTCACAACCGGAGTACTCCCACCTTAATCATGCAATGTTTCATACGAATTTTTTTTTCACCAACACTTTTTTCATATTGCGGTACAGTGTCCTATTTTTGTATTTGCAAGACTTTGAAAGAAATTAAAGCATTTGGCAAGAATTTTACCAAATATCTTCTGCACATTTCAGGTGATCGATTTCCTCACATGACGGAGTTTCTATGCTATGATCGCGAACTTAAATTTAGTGCTTGAAGTGAAGCAAGTAAGACAATATTCCGTTTCATTTTTATACCATTCGCCATGTAATCCATAATTTCCATGTTTTCCATCACAAATAGGGCATGGTGAGCTCCACGGCTGAGGTG